TTTTATATTTTCCTATAAAATCAGTTTTATAATAAAGATTAATACATTTAAGAGTTGGATTTGGATGAGTATATTCAATAGAACTTCAATGTGCCTTCAAAAACTTCAACAATGTTCTTATTCAGCACATCAAAGAGCTACAGATGCATAAATAAATAATCCCACTGGAAGGAGACCATGTGGCGGCCCATATTATTTAGCAGTCTAGGCCTACAGAACAATGAAACTCAAAGATTTGTATCAGCCCTGCTATCAAACAAGCACCGTAAGATGTACCTGTTCACCGTGCAGCTAGATTCTCCATGGGACTTTTTTTTTCTTCTAAATTCAATTAGACAGTGGAGCAAAAACCTGATCAAAAGTCAATCAGCACATCCTCAGATAAGGTGGCAGCAGATATGAGGAGCCAAAGCAGATCTCACAGTTTTGTGGAAATTTTTGCTAATGTACATTTGAATTATTCACTGCTTATTGTAAAAGAAGATTTAGTTTAATGAAGCATATCGATACAGCCTTGAGAAAGTGGCATATTTGGACGACCATTGGAGAAGTGAGAAAGAAAAATGCGAAAAATAGATCAAATTAAAGAAAAAAAATTCTAGTGACATTTCATAAGTTTCACAGTCATATGTTTATATTACTATTTTTTTGTATTTATTACTTTTTTCAAGGCTGCACTTTAAAAAACTAAATTGTCTAGAGCTGCTTTAAAGGAATAGTACACCCAAAACATGATTAGCCTTCATTTTCTACTCACCTCCATGCTGAACAACACTCTGGAGTACTTTTTTGATATCTCAAATGCATCTGGAGATCTGGGAGGCTTCTTGCTGTCTGCTGACATTCAAATAATGGAGGTCCATGGCGCCCGAGACAGAAAGGTCCATAAAAGTCCACAAAAACGTGTCAATATTCCTCCATACTGCTCGTCCAATGTAATCCAAGTGTCCTGAGTGGGTAGCATCCAGAATTTACTCGAAACGAAGTCATTTAGAATGTTTTTAGAGCATAAACAGTAGTGTATAGGATTTCCTAATAGCGCCCCCATGCGCGCTCACGATTCTACGGAAGCCGGCAGACCAAACCGGAAGAGAGTGCGCATTCAGCGTCTGGTCTGCCGATAATGCAAGCGTAGAAGAAGAAATGTGCTGTTTACCTGTGCAAAGAAAGAAACAACGAAAGAAAAATGTCTGAGGACTTCAGTGTTGAGGAAGAGCATGAGTTCTTTGCCGAGCTGAATGCGCTGGTTTGGTCTGCCGGCTTCCGTAGAATCGCGAGCGCGCATGGGGGCGCTATTAGGTAATCCTATACACTACTGTTTAGGCTCTAAAAACATTCTAAATGACTTCGTTTCGAGTAAATTCTGGATGCTACCCACTCAGGACACTTGGATTACATTGGACGAGCAGTATGGAGGAATATTGACACGTTTTTGTGGACTTTTATGGACCTTTCTGTCTCGGGCGCCATGGACCTCCATTATTTGAATGTCAGCAGACAGCAAGAAGCCTCCCAGATCTCCAGATGCATTTGAGATATCAAAAAAGTACTCCAGAGTGTTGTTCAGCATGGAGGTGAGTAGAAAATGAAGGCTAATCATGTTTTGGGTGTACTATTCCTTTAAACTACATTTTTTTTTGTTTACACTCGTGTATACAAAATGACTAAATAAATATGTCTAAGTCTAACAGAAGATTAACTATAATATTAATCATGAAATAATTACTCTGGGTCTTACATACTACAAATCTCAGGAGCAAGTTGTTTTGTTTATTTCATTTAAGTATGCAAAATCACTTACATGGAAAGTTGACTTCTGGACATTGCTGCTGTAATCTCTTAATAAACCATGTAACTTGGTATGATCCCAGGTATATATACATACTGTATATCTATATAAAAACACGTATATGTGGTTTGGGCACTCGGACCAATGACCGCCTAGACCTAATAATATTTCAAAACAGTTCAAGGTCCCTCTAGAAATGCATTTAGCCATATTGAGGTAATTGAATCATCATCTGAGATCTTCCTGTGATGTATTACAGCATAAAACAAGATAAAACTGTTAAAAAAAACATATTATTTAAAGGAAAGAGGTAAACACTAACATTATCAATGCGCTTCATTCCATGAGAATCTTATATTTACAATACCTTTTCAAGTTACTGAAATTTTCAAACTAGATATTTGACCTGATGGTAATGCTATGGGAAAGGCCAAATAACTCACTCCATAAACTGTTTTATATATAAATTTTAAATGGAAAAATTAATTTGCTCATAGTGGATGTTTGCTAAAAATGTAAGGTTATTAAAGGGTTAAATTCTGTCCCATAATCCCTTATGAGAATACCACACATTCATACAGTCTACCACTAGAGGAAGCTGTCTCATCACATATAAAACTTACAATGTTTTAAAACCGCATGTTCATTAATCTCAAACTGTTTTAAATGAATGGAATTTGAAAATGTTTAAGCGAAAATTCCAGAAAAAATAACCAGTTTAAAATTCTATACAATGAATTTATAACTGCAGGGTCTTTTGCAGATATAACCAAGAGAATATTAACCAAAATCAAGACTGCAGGGTTTTCCATGTAGGTCAAGGTTTAATCAATTTAAAGCACTACTTATCTGTATTGTCAATTAAATATCAGAAAACAACTTTAGTTTTGCTAAGGAAATTAATGTAAATTACGAAACTTGAGGAAAACTACTAATAAGTATCATGTGTATCCACCCTGTCAGCTGCTTTAAAGGAATAGTACACCCAAAACATGATTAGCCTTCATTTTCTACTCACCCCCATGCTGAACAACACTCTGGAGTACTTTTTTGATATCTCAAATGCATCTGGAGATCTGGGAGGCTTCTTGCTGTCTGCTGACATTCAAATAATGGAGGTCTATGGCGCCCGAGGCAGAAAGGTCCATAAAAGTCCACAAAAAACGTGTCAATATTCCTCCATACTGCTCGTCCAATGTAATCCAAGTGTCCTGAGTGGGTAGCATCCAGAATTTACTCGAAACAAAGTCATTTAGAATGTTTTTAGAGCATAAACAGTAGTGTATAGGATTTCCTGAAAGCGTGCGCCGGCGCGTTCATGACGCTACGGAAACCGCGGCAGACCAAACCAGATGAAAGTGCCGTCATGTTCTTTTATTAATAATCAACTAATTTTTTCTTGAAATTAAAATTAGAGGTTGAAGTTTAACATTCGACTCTTCTGAAAATTGCATTTAAAATATGTTTGCTTTTCTATGCCATTAGTTTTTGCTACACTGTACAGCTGAGCAAACTACAAACACCTGTGCATGGTCTTATTTTACATAGTTTACTTATCTTATCTACTTAGCATTTGTGTCTTTAAAGGCCAAAAGATCACAGGTTTGAAACGGAGACTGATTCTGCATTCCTGAGCAAGACCTTTAACCCCAGAATACCTCCTGTACCTCAATCATAGTGTTAGGCCACTGGTCTCTAATGAACTGGTAAATTGTGGACATCCCATTTCTCACTTTTAGACCATAAAGCGATATTTTTTTTCTGTTAATATCTTAGATTCATTTTCATAGCGAAATGAAGAAAAAAAAAAAATCTTTGGTGATCAAAAACTGATATATATATATATATATATATATATATATATATATATATATATATATATATATATATATATATATATATATATATGTATAAAACTGTTTTTCTCACCCCTCGTGGGGTGGTATGTGTCATCCTCAAGCTCGGGTCCTCTACCAGTGTCCTGGGAGTTTGAGGGTTCTGCGCAGTATCTTAGCTGTTCCTAGGACTGCGCTCTTCTGGACAGATTCTTCTCTGATGTTTTACCTGGAATTTGCTGTAGCCACTTTCCCGTTTGGGGGTCACAGCCCCCAGTGCCCCCTCTCACTGGGGACGCTTGTATAGTAGCATTTCATCAATTCCAAGTTTTCTGCTGTAGTCCATCTATGTCTTGTTCCAGTAGCCAATTTGTCATCAGGTTGCCCTGGTTCCCTAGCAACCGATGCTGACCTTGTTAACCTGGGCGACGTCCGAGCCGGTATGGGTCTTGTATTTGTGGTTCCACTCATGCCTAAGGTAGGCCACTAAGCACAAAGGACCTTGCCTAAGGGTCCACCTGGATGTCCATGCCGGGAATCGAACCCATGGTCACCTGTACTGGAGTATATATATATATATACTCCAGTATATATACGTTTGCCTAAATGAATGTCAGTACAGTCATTCAGTTTCTGGCTCTGTTCATGTGTAATGAGAGCCCCTACTTACTTGTTAAAGAAGGACTCAAAACAGAAAGAAAACACATTGCATTGCAACATTGGAAAATGTCAATGAGAGGTTTGAAAATAAAGCTCTAAAATTTTACAAAACAAATTGGGGGAGGATATAAATATGTGAAGAAAAATAAGTTGAGTAGAACTGTGAGTAAAAGTCTGGTAAGCACCGCATACACAGTAAAAACTAAGATAGACTATAAACACAATAAAAAGATGTGTTTTATGTATTATTAACTAAATACAAGAAAATGGGCATCAGATAAAGGTTGAAACGTCAAAATACTTTAGATTTCTGTCTATCTCAGCCAAGATAAACTATTCACCCTCAGACTCTAAACCTAGTTTACTTGGAAAGTGTAACAGCTGTGTGAAGCACGATGCATCTGAACCAGTTTTTCTTCCCCATTGTTCCAATTTTTGCTGCATGAATGGAACTTTGATTCATCAGCTGATCAACTTTTGATTAACCTTATAGACAGAATATTTTATTTAAGTTGTTTTAAATAAACAATTAAATGTAATTTATTGTGAATTTTGCAAAAACTTTCACTAAAGATTCTTATCTAGAGTGTGTATGAGGGTGAATGTGTGACCTGTTGAAGCATGCGTCATTGTTCTTTCCTCAGACGTCAGTGATTCAGAGCACACCTGCTCAGAACCACACCCACTAGAGAACAAGGGTTATAATGGCAATTTCAAATCAGCTTTTGTCTTAATACCGTCCTAAGGGCTGCTCACAATATGGACAGTTTTACTCGGCATTAAGGAGTATCACCCAGGGATGTATTTTTGTATTTATTTTGTGCTGGGATTGCTGTCTTTAAAAGGTATGTAAAGAAAGTTTGCACCTATTCAGGTAAATCAGTGAATATATTTCATTTTACTGGCAAAAGATAATCAGAAGGAATCAATGAACATTTGAGTTTTATAAAGGTAAAAATATGTTTTATATTTGAGTTTTTGGGGTTATTGCTTTTTGTGTTTCTGTACAAACGAGTAATGTGGAGGTATGACATGTTTTTTCTTTTCTTTTCCGTCCATCCATCCATCCATGAGTCCATTTGGTGTAAAAGCTGGAGCATCCAAAAAACTGTGGTCCTTTGACTTTGGATTGCATGAGTGGGGTATTAGTCTGATAATAGAGCCTCAGGGGTGATTATGTACCATTTTTCAAACTTTTTAGATTAAATTGTTAAAATTAATATTTTCTGACAAGACTCTTTTTATTGTTTTATTATAATTAAGGATGTAAAAAAATTATATTATCAACATCATTTACTAACTGGTATAATGATTTGGGGAATAATTTCACCCAGATTGTATATCTTCTTGAAATGAGATTTCACAAGTTCTACAATCTGATCTACTTTTTTAAAAGCATTCAAGATAAAATTTTTAGCACTGCAGTTTACTTTAGTTTTTTTCCTTTGCCATTTGTAAGTAATAATAGTTTGTTCTCTGGTATGTGAGCTCAGAGATAATTACAGTGAATGTGTTAATGTTGTATTGAAATGAAACAAAAGATAATAATCACCTCACACCTTCAAGCCTTGTGGCGTGGCTGAGATTACACATACTGTAAGTGGGCTAAACTGTTTGTAGAGGAATATGTGCGGATTCCTTTTTGTGACCTCTCAAGGACAGTGTAAGGCCAATTTTAGTTAAATATAGTACATTTTGGTGACATAGAGGTACTTTTGGGGACCACTCGAATGTTCCCCTAAAGGAAAAAAAAATCTCTTAGGTTAGGTATATGTTGGCAATGGTTAAGGCTAAAGTAAGGGTCTGAGTTAGGTAACACAAATGAATGGAAGTCAGTAGAAATTCTCCATCAAACATGAAAAGGTAACATCTATGTGTGTACTCTTGTTTTAAACACATTGTGGAGTTCAATTTCCGGAAAAATAGCATACTGTGGGGACCAACTGCTCATTGTTGGTCTCAATGCCTTGAACACACAAGGGAAATTGCTGTTTTTGGATCAGGGATCACGCTTTGGACCAAGGTGTGAATTGAGTCTGATTAGAGTTAGGATTTGGTATCAACCTGTAATGGTTAGTCTTAGGTTTGCAGGATGGTCTTATGTAAAAAAAAAAAAAAAATATTAACATAATGATTTAACACCTTTTAATTTTATATATCTACAGCACTAACAGAAAATGTTTTTTATCCCATTGTCATCTATTAAAGTTAGTCCACATATACAAAGAATTAGCATCTTGAGTTTATAATAATAAATAAATATTTATATCCAATAAAAACTGCATACAATGGAGTTATGACTCCAGATGCAGATGGGATTAAACTAACAACTCTCTCTTTCAGCACTATCAGAAAAAACTGTAAATATTTGTAGAAAGTATATTTATACATGTATTTAATGGGTTGGAACTCACCTACATCTGGTTTATATGAAAGCCACTTTATGGACAAAGTATATTTCCTGTCTCTATTTCTACAAGGGTCACAGAGAATCCAGTTTCTCCGTAGTTTCTTTAACTATGGTGAAATTGTTTATTTTTAATACTCATAATAATCTTAATGCAGGGAAAGCTAGAAAGTACTAAGTCTAAAATAGGACTAAAGTAAGACTTGGAAATGTCCCATGTAAATGTGTTTTAGGTCTTTCTGCATGGAAATGTAATGATCTCCCTGCTCATGCATGAGTTTGTTCTGGTTCCCCTGCCTTCCCCCCTCATTGTCAAATTATAATTGGTAGAGTAGGTTAACTTTTTATGCTAAATTTGCCTAAGTTAAGGCGCAGACCTGTGGTAAACTGATTATTTTTCCTCAGTGCATCTAACCCCAGTCTATGATAGCTGGTAAAGGGAACTGAGAACCTCTGCAAGTGGAGGCCTTGGGCAAACCCAGGATTTACATTTCATAAAGAATTAAATTAAGCTAACAACAATTACAGTTTCTGGAAAAGCATGGTCTTTTGCTGTTCAAAATGTTAAGAGAAATGAAATGTGTTGTTATTCCTGTTGGCTGTCAGTGCTAATCGTAGGAGGCATCCACCCTAGAGTAACCTGAACAAACTGGACGTCTATTAACAAATCATGCAAATACAGTAATGGAAATCAAAGATGTTAGCAGAGACTATGGACAAATATTGAAAGGAAAAATAGAACCACACCTGGTTTTAGGATTTATGCTATTTTCCAAATTCAGTCCATTATTCCAAGTTAATTTGATTCCCTTGTTTAAATTCTGCAAAGGGTTTAGATGAGGTTTGTTCAGCAGAAACTTCTTGTATTCAGGCTGTTGCTGAACAATCATCAACCTCATCTCAAAGCATCGGCGTCGCCAGACCCCATTTACTGGGGCACGTGCCCCAGTATAAATGAGCTGTGCCCCAGTATAAACCTCATGAATATTTGCAACAGTGATACATTTGTTTAATGCATCAATTTAGATAATTCCAACGGGAGGAGACGTATATTTCTACTCAAATGCAAGTTGTTAACTCCAAATTGAGGATGTATTAGCGCCCACACGTCAGCGCTTGTCACTGCATGAACTGCAGGTAAATTAACGCGCTGCTCTCAACTGAGTTGGATGGGACACTGTGCAGCCGCAACACATTTTTAGTTCTGGTAACGTTTCTTACCCATCAATTTTATCAATTTTTCACAATCACAATCAACAGCTGTAGTTGTGAAAGGTCATTCAGTGTGTTGAGAAGGCTCCACACTTGGCTGAGGTGCACAATGGGACAAGACAGGCTCCATCATCTTGCTATTTTATCAGTTGAAAAGGAAGAATTTTCTAAGCTGTAACAGTCTAGTGATTGACCGCTTTGCAAAAATGAAAAATAGGAGGTACACTTTAATGCTCAAAAAATAAAATAAAAACTTAGTTCAGGTTGAGTTAAAATTTCACCTGAACTAAAACTCTGAAACCTAGGAATTAATGATTACTTCAGAATGTGTTTAAGGAAACTTTTTAATTTTTAAAGTCGGTGATGTCTTATTTTTTATAACTACAATGTTGAAAATGTTCATGTTTGTTAAAACAAATATGCTCTTACACTCATTATTATCTCAACTGGTAATTTTAGTAGGAATGTATCAGGGTGGGGCAGTGTGCTTGTCTGTATTTGTGTATGGCAGGAGGGGCATATGCAGTAGGGGGCCAGTGCCCCAGTAAAGCTTTGTGCCTAGCAACGCCCCTGTCTCAAAGACATAAAAAAATGTGACCATCTTATTTTTTTGGAATTTATTTTTACCCTCTAAGTCAGTATACAGTCCATCCATCCATCCATCCATCTGTTTTATTCTCTATAGAACACAGAAATATGTTAACCTTACAAACTCAGGGCTCCTGTAAACATGAAAACATTACATGGTTGAACTCCCAAAGGAATTCTTTATTGCGAAATCCTGTTCTTATCTGTAGAGACACTTGCATAACTTGCAGAGAAAATTTTGCTTCTGCATATTTCAGTGACGCTGATGCATTTAGGTCACAAACATGGGATTTTCCCTCTCAGAAAGTGTAAATAAAGCAATTGTTTTTGAAGACATATTTCATTTATTTTATTCAATATTCTAGTTTGAAGCTCATAATATCAGGAATATTTTCTTTGTACTATTAGTTGGCTATCAACAATATTAAAAACTTTGGATCAGTGCTAAAAAGATTTAACAGGTAGGATGTTTATGTAGTCTTCATAAAGATTTGAAACTGGTTATAGTTTATTTTCTTAAAGTGTGGAGGATTTATTTTCTTTTTCCACTCCCAGTAGCCACTTGGAGAGGAACATTTTCATTTGTTAGTGAGATAATCACACCCTGAAAAACCTGCTGATTTCTTGTCACACCTGCAAGTTATTGTTTTATAATTTGCTTGAAGGAGTTGTCAGAGTCATAGAGTTTATCTCTGTTAGGAGTGACGTCTGTGCAGAAAGTGGGTTGAGCTCAGGCTCACAAGCTGTAAAAGTACAAGATTGCGCAATCAGAGGAAGTACCTGTTGAGATTTTATTTCCTTTTCCAAATGCAAAGATCCTATAACTTGAGGCAACAAGGAGTCAGAGAGGTTTATATAGTTTTTTTTCAAAAAGAGACTTTTTTCTTCTTCTTTGATTATCATGTATAGAAGTTGTTTACATTTTATTACACCAATGAAGCAAGATAGAGAATTGTTTTTTTTTTGTTTTTTTAACACATGCAGCTTCATAAGGTCACATATTAATCAGATTTGCATCCTTATTCTTGTCACCCAGGTTTGTCCTTTGCAGATCCTAATCTTCAGCAGATCTTAGCCTTTGCTGGTGGGCATGCCATCCTGCCCTGCAGTTTAAAAACCCCTGCCAACGATGATGTGCCAACAGTGGAGTGGTCTAAGGAAGGGCTAAAGCCAAATGTGGTCTTCTTGTACCGCAATGGCTTTGAGACCTTTGAGATGAAGAATCCGGCCTTTGAGTTCCGGTCAAGCCTATTTATGAGAGAGGTGAAGAACGGGAATGTCTCACTTAGGATTTCCAACCTGAAGCCATCAGATACTGGGATCTACAGATGTTTGATCATCCAAAGAAACGGAACCAGAGAGGCTACAGAAGTCCGGCTGATTGTTGGTATAACAGCTTGGGTTCAAATTCTGTTAAAGTTTGAGCTAAAGATACATTTTAATGTCAGTAATGATCAGAAATTTACATAAACAGCACATTTAATGTTTCTGTTTAAATTTACAGTTTTAAATAATAAAACACCAAAAGTATAATAATAATAACCATATTAATCACCCTTAACCATTAACTTCTCCCACTATAGCTGCAGTGTCTGACCCAAAGCTTTCAGTTAAATCTGATGAAAACCAGAGAGTGACGGTGGCCTGTGAGGCGCCCTGCTGGCTACCAGCCCCGCTGATGGCGATTGTGGATGAAAAAGAGAACAACATCACTGATTCTGTGGAGATACGAAGAGAAGAGACCACAGGATGTTACACAGTGAGGCAAACAGCCACAGTACAGAGCCATACAAACAGGTGACCGAACAGCTTTACTGTTCAACCAAATTTGTTCTGGTATTTGATTGATTTAGGAAACGCTTAACTCAAACATAAGGATTTATATCAGTCAATCAACCAACTAATTGGTCTACAGTACCTAACCACCTACTTGTTTCTAAAATGTGTTAAGCATGATTTACTTTTAACTTTTAATAAGCAGTACAAAGTAAGTACTCTAAATACAGAGCTTCAGATTATTGTTACTAGTGAGGATCATGAATTAAAGACCAAATAAAAGATAAAATAGAAAACAAATCAGTACAAAAACCATTTATGTTTCTGAACACTTCAATATACAGGTGCTGGTCATAAAATTAGAATATCATGAAAAAGTAGATTGATTTCAGTAATTCCATTTAAAAAGTGAAACTTGTATATTATATTCATACATTACATACAAACTCATATATTTCAGATGTTTATTTTGTTTAATTTTGATGATTACAAATGACAACAAATGAAAATCTCAAATTCATCATATCAGAAAATTAGAATATTGTGAAAAGGTTCAAAATTGATGGCCCCTGGTGCCACACTCTAATCAGCTAATTAACTCAAACCACCTGCAAAAGCCTTTAAATGGTCTTTCAGTCTAGTTCTATAGGCTACACAATCATGGGGAAGACTGCTGACTTGACAGTTGTCCAAAAGACGACCATCGACACCTTGCACAAGGAGGGCAAGACACAAAAGGTCATCGCTAAAGAGGCTGGCTGTTCACAGAGCTCAGTGTCCAAGCACATTAATAGAGAGGCGAAGGGAAGGAAAAGATGTGGTCGAAAAAAGTGTACAAGCAAGAGAGATAACCGCACCCTGGAGAGGATTGTGAAACAAAACCCATTCAAAAATGTGGGGGAGATTCACAAAGAGTGGACTGCAGCTGGAGTGAGTGCTTCAAGAACCACCACACACAGACGTATGAAAGACATGGGTTTCTGCTGTCGCATTCCTTGTGTCAAGCCACTCTTGAACCACAGACAGCGTCAGAAGTGTCTTGCCTGGGCTAAAGAGAAACAGGACTGGACTGCTGGTGAGTGGTCCAAAGTCATATTCTCTGATGAAAGTAAATTTTGCATTTCCTTTGGAAATCAAGGTCCCAGAGTCTGGAGGAAAAGAAGAGAGGCACTTCATCCACGTTGCTTGAAGTCCAGTGTAAAGTTTCCACAGTCAGTGATGGTTTAGGGTGCCATGTCATCTGCTGGTGTTGGTCCATTGTGTTTTCTGAGGTCCAGGGTCAACGCAGCCACATACCAGGAAGTTTTAGAGCACTTCATGCTTCCTGCAGCTGACCAACTTTTTGGAGATGCAGATTTCATTTTCCAACAGGACTTGGCACCTGCACACAGTGCCAAAGCTACCAGTACCTGGTTGAAGGACCATGGTATCCCTGTTCTTAATTGGCCAGCAAACTCTCCTGACCTTAACCCCATAGAAAATCTATGGGGTATTGTGAAGAAGAAGATGCAATACACCAGACCCAACAATTCAGAAGAGCTAAAAGCCACTATTAGAGCAACCTGGGCTATCATAACACCTGAGCAGTGCCACAGACTGATCGACTCCATGCCACGCCGCATTGCTGCAGTAATACAGGCCAAAGGAGGCCCAACTAAATACTGAGTGCTGTACATGCTCATACTTTTCATGTTCATACTTTTCAGTTGGCCAACATTTCTATAAATCCTTTGTTTTTATTGGTCTTCAGTAATATTCTAATTTTCTGATATGATGAATTTGAGATTTTCATTTGTTGTCATTTGTAATCATCAAAATTAAACAAAATAAACATCTGAAATATATGAGTTTGTATGTAATGTATGAATATAATATACAAGTTTCACTTTTTAAATGGAATTACTGAAATCAATCTACTTTTTCATGATATTCTAATTTTATGACCAGCACCTGTAAAGTGGTTTGTAATCTTCTTGATTTATGTGAAAAATGGTCCATATGTGGAGTCACCATCAGTTAATGCTACCCTGCTAACAAAAAACAGTAACTCAAGCTGAAAAAATTCAAGTCAATAATTTTGAATTTCTATAGCACCAATTCACAAGTCATCTGAAGGCTTTTTACAGAAACAATTCAACCAGATCATACAATTAAGACTCATTAAAGGTTTTTATTGGAGTCACTGACTTTACAGGATTTACTCCTTCTGGATGAGAATGTAGTGACTGCAGATATTTGGATGCATTCAATCATTGAATCTATAGCAGTCACCCACAGTGAGCCTGCAACAACAATGGAGAGGCTTAGTGTGAGCAGTGGTGTGGATTTTACCATACGGTTATCAATATATTAAATAACTGGAAGTTATAGCTAATTATTAGGTAATTCATATCATAGGATAAAACTAATTAATGAATGTCTATTAAGTGATTATAACTGTAATCTGCTTATTCATAAGGGCTCTTTGTCTTTTACATAAAGATGGACTCCAGGACCAGTTGTTTATGATCCAGTTGCCTTAACTGATTTATGGAGTTATTAATCTCTAAACAAAGAAATTGTCTCTGTTCATTCTAATATTAACAAAAGGAGGGTGAATCTGACCTGATTGATAAACGGTTCACTGTATAAAATACGACAAAAAAACACAAGTTAAAATACAATGGTAACTGTATTAGCTAATATTCACAGCTTTAAAGCAAAACTCGAGATCCACAGAGCAGAAACTGGTCACAATCAGGAAAACAGAACAAAATTCCGAATGCTAGAGTTAATCTCACCAAACTGTTTGAATGTGGCGCTGATGGAAGGCAAGCAAACTGATAGCAGGAAATAGCAGAGGAACCAGGTGGAAATTATCGGCGCTAAGCAGCCGCTGGACTATTTAGACAGTTGAACAAGGAGCAAGCGGAAAAAACCCAATTATCAGCGCCAAAAACATGAGAGCTGGAGAGAGTAGGTAAATCCAGCTTGCCATAGGGCCAGCAGTGAGGTAGCTTGGAGGTAATGGTGCTAGCTGGACCCAACGTATAGTAGCCTAACTCTTCAAACAAATGAAAAAGGGAATGACACAAACAATAACACACAGCATGGATCATTCAGTCAGGCTCACTGAGCATTAGCATTCAGTTCAGAACCTTTATTTAAAAACCAAAAATCGGCAGATGAATCAGAAAGTTTCTTCTAGATAAAACACAAGTAAAATATCTGTTTTACTGTCTCTCGCCCAAGCAGAATATTTATTAAGCAACATAAAAGTAGAAATGATGTTTACTTGTTGGCCCAGTGGAATGGAGGGGATGGGGTATTTTTCGGCTGGGGCAAAACTGTCTTGATTCAGCTCAGGAACAAAGTCTACTTTTCCAACTGGCAGAACTTGAAAAGACTTGTATTATTGATGCAAACATATAGAAGGAAACTTTGCAGGGTTTCATTTTGTCACTCACAGCAGCCTTAGCACTGCCGTCCCCATAAGGCACTGGATAGCTTGTTGCAGCGGCTCGGACGGCGGCAGCACATCTCCAAACAGCAGGTGAACCAATGCATCACGGTTGGTTTCACAGTTCCAGGCAGTGGCAGAACTGGTGGGGCATAGGTCAGCAGCTTCTAGCAGCTCCTCTGCAGAACATCAACTACAGTATGTCCAGCTGTTCTATGGGTAGACCAGAAGTGGAGAGTTTCTCATCTGCTTCAGCAGGCAGTTTCACAAAACACTGCCTTTAACCTGGTTTGATATGCAGGAAAAACAAGATGCTACGTTCAACCGTTCTGAGTCACAGGAAGTAAGTAGTATGAGTCAGCAAGCAAACAGAGACTCTTCTCCGGAGTGGATTTGGTGGCCACATATGTAGGATTTGTGTAACTCAAGAGAAAAATCAAACCAACCAATGTTTTAGAAGCATTGGAGTTAAACCTTTAGATTGTTTAATTTAAATGGGAACAAAAAATATTGAAAATGGGAATTTTAGCTGGAGCGTCAATAAAGTAACAATAACTGTGCTTAATATTCCATACGTCTAAAATGATAATTGCAAATATGATTAAAACTAAAACCTGACTGAATTTGTAAATCACAGGGTCATCTGCAGAGTGGAACAGATTGAGACGAACCACAGCAGGACTTTAGACATCTTCCTCTCAGGTATAATGCTGAATTTATATTATATATATATATATATATATATATTTTTTTTTTTTTTTTTTTTTTTTTTTTTTTTCTTATTTAAAACTTTAAACTTGATTATATTTCACACTTATAAAACTTCTGTATTTTATATGTTTGATACGGTGTGACTTTTCAATGTCAAAGATTGGCAAGAAATGTCAGTGTTTTATATGTATACAGTATATATATATAGAGAGAGAGACTTTATTTATGATTTCTCAGGTCAATAAAACACAATGAAAGGTAAAATGTGAAATGTATTGCAATTATAATGGTGAGTAATAGAAGAAAAGATGGTAAAATGTGTTGAGTTACTAATTAAATCGCTGATTTTGTCTGTTATGTATTTTATATAAAGTTGACGGGTTTCAATTGTTTTTTTACTGATAGTCTTGATTCACTATTGTGAGGATAAAGTAGATGAGCAATTAAAGAAAGAAAGAATTTGAAGCCACTAAATAAAATATGATATATATATATATATATATTGATGTGACTATTGTGTTGTTTCAGCTCAGTGGAAGATGTCTGACTTCAAGGTTGCCATGTTCTTTCTCGAAGTTGTAGCTTCAGTTTCTCTTCTTGGATTGTTTGTCTTCTGCATCTGGTTCACTTGTTCGAAATATGGTAAATCTGAAAGTTTTTTCTCATTAAACTAAATTGTTTGCAAGTGATCCCTTTCAAAAAGAGACCATGGATGAAAATTTTGAAAGTTGATCTCCTTGCTGATCTCCTATTTGTTTGTCTCCCCACAGGTAAGAGAAGGCAGGAAACAAAAGGGATTGAATCAAATCCTGAATTAACAGGTGTCACCTGCGAAAGCGTGCAGCTCCTGATCACACCAAGTATGATAGATGGGGCTGACAATACAGAAAACAGGACAATGGAGAACCTAGAAAAAGAGGTGGCTGATCTCAGGTTTGAGAACTGTAAGAAAGATGAGATGATCCTTAAACTGTGGGGGGAAATCCAAGCCATGTCTAGCAGGTTGGATTACGTAACAAAACAAAGTTCTTCTAACTCCTCCAAAAAGAATTATCTAAAAGAAGAACACCAAAGCCACAGCAGCAACCCTGGTCCTGACCATGCAAAGCACAGACATTTCCGCTTTCACAGCAGCCCAACTCTGCTGTTTTGCTCTAACTCAGCTGGAGTCAAAATAGATGAAAATGTTTTTTGCCCTGCAATGGATCCCAGGACCAACCCTTTTAAGAAAGGGTGCTTTTATCCTCGTCGACACTCCTTAGGATTTCTTCCATCTTTCCGATCCAAAAAAGGTTACATTCCCCTGCCTCATTTACCTGAGCATTGCGGAGCTTCAGACGATCAGCATACTGTGGGAACACCTGAACCGGGTTGACCCGCTAATTTACGTGACATTGAGAGCGATGTACAAACAACAACAAAGCCACGCGAATCTCGTCTGATCTAACAAGTCATAACAACTCTGTTTACACTCGATAAACATGGCGCAGCACTTTGAGAGGGATTCTGGTAGTTAAATGAGCAAAACTATAAAGCCGACTTACTATATCCTGGCTTCCTTACATATTGCTCTCTATTATTTTCCTTCTTGCTGTCACACTGGTGACAGCAGCAATGCTACACCAGGGTAATGGTCGGCAGACACACAGTGGCAGGGAGAAAAAAGGCCTTGCAACTGCCAGCAAAGGGCTTGACCCAGCTTTTTTGCCAAGGGGAAGGGATCAAAATTCAAATTTAGGGGTCGACCATGTTTGAAAAACATGCAATAACCCAGTATTTTCAGTGGGAAAGAGGCTTAAGCAACACAAAACTTTACATGGTAGGGGTATGCCTGAATGTTGAATAAGTTCTGAGTCTGAGTGAATATTTTCCTCACTCAACTGATCAGATTTAGGCCTCTGGACTTATAGTTTAACTTTTGCTTTTTTGACAACTGGTTGGGGTAATAAAATGCGGCACTTTTGATTATTCTAATTTTTACATCACTGTGAACCTATTTTATGTGCAGATACTATTGCATTATAAAGTGTGAAACATGCTCAGTTTTTGTTTCTTCATAAATATAAAACCCATCCCCTTGGGGGGCAGTGGGCTGCCATTGTGTACCATCGAGACATCAGGGGTTAAGGGTTAAGGGTTTTGCTAGGGAACCCAGAGTGAAGGATGTTGGGATAAAACCGCTATTTGCAACCTTCTCAGAGCAAAAGCGCACTGCTGTAACCCACTAGGCCAGCAGTCCCCAGCATAATACTTACCGTACTTAAAACTATGAAAGCTACACTATTTTTTACTTTAAAAATGTACATAGCTTATTTTCTTTATAATTTTGATATGTATTTTTCAGATATTTAGGAAGAATAAACATCCTGAAATCTTATTTGTGGTCTCTGAAAAAATGTCTATCACAAACAGGTTTAAATTGGAAGGCACCAACTTAAAAATAGTTATTTCGACAATCCAGAAGCCTTTTAAAATCTGTTGACTCGCACCAGAGCAAACTATAGTTGGAGTGCTGATGTATTTAAGCAGTATTGACGTCCATCCTCCTGCACATATTCCAAGTCAGATGCAAGTCAAATAGCCAGAAACCAGGCTATTTTTACAATTCAGAGCAAACTGAAAGTAGACTTGATGGAAAAAAAAACATCTAGTTTTTTGCCAGGTCGACTCTTGTTTGCAGCCCACAGAGCACTCCTTGCCAAACTGCATTTTGCCAAGATGTTTGCATGTGCACCACTGCATCGAAGCTGTCAGCTGGCCCTCTAAAGAGAGATCTTCTTAAAGCTGCTGTAAGTGATCCAACAAATCAAGCCCCTGAGACCTTTCTCTGTTGTTTTGGATCAAACTAATTCAGGTCTCTCCAAGAGCTGCCTGTTGGACCGAGTGGACTGGGCTTCTGAGCCAAACCAGCAGAACATTGTTACTTCCTTTTCATCCCGAACAACACAGGGTAATGCCTTTGTCCCTTTTATCTGGTGCTTACTGAGATACTCAAGCTTGGCGGAGGTTAGAATAGATATGTTTGTATGTTTTGTTTTTCTGAACAATAAAGCTTTATAGTTTCCAAAGGATGGGTTTTTAAGTAAAGAGTTCTTAACTGAAGGCTGACGCTAATTGAATCTGATTTTGAACTATTGGTGCTGTGTGGTCTTTGTCTCTGTTTTTTTCCTTTATCAGAAGAGTTATGTGCTGACATTTGATTGTCTAGCATTATAGGCTCAGGCTACCTCATCTTCAAACACAAGCGTACGTGGTGGCGGCCATCATAGGACAAAGTTCATTGCCCTTTAACAAGCTGGGCCTCGTAGCCTGGTCTCCTGGCGTTTCCCGAGCTAACCCATTTAGCCACAGTGCTGCTTCATTTGAATACATTTCTGAGTCGTTGTTCATTATTCATTTGAAAACTGAGTGACGTTCAACGTTTTTAATTGCATTTAAGATCCCTGCATCAGTTATTTACATTAATCTGGTGTCATTTTAAAGGACACCCTTAAATGCATTATCACTCTATCAAGCCTTAAAATTCGAAGGTACATTACAAACTCTTGGAAACAAACTCTTAGACCTTTTCTCATTTTATTAGCCCCTCATTTACCTTGTGCTCATTTTCAGTAGTGTGTATTGTTTGCATAGTTATTAGACATAATACTGTAATGGGGTTTATTAGGTAATAAAGATACCTATATTTCAACTGTGGTTGTCTGTGATTACTTATACCAGTGAAAGATTTATCACTCAGAACCAAATCCATCCTTTTGGATTACACCTGAAGAAACAGAGACAATTTCCAGTTTTGTTTCTTTTTATTTTTTTTATTAAGAACTCTTCTGATAACCATAGTCAAAATGATTAAATCTACTGATAGAAAAGACAACTTGATTTTAACAGCCAGTCCAGGAGTCCAACCATGGATAAAGACTAAATAACATTGGTGAGTAAGCAGATTATAGTTATAATCATTTATCGAATAATCGTTCATTGGTATTACCCTTGGTGTCAATTCAAGCAGACAGATCAGTTGGAGAAACAAGCGTTTATTTAATAAAGTTTGCGGCTGCTTGTCAGCTGGGACGGGCTCACTGGATTCTCTTTAGAAGCAGAGACTCAGGACACTGATTTCAGAATTCAAACGGGGAATCATAATAAGCATGAAAGTCACCAACCTGGTAAAGTTCAACCCAAGCCCAGAAGAAGGAGTGAAGTCCATATTCCAGAGATCCAGGAGAGAAGAGGAGCATTGACCAGCAGCAGCCAGAACATGTAGAGGAACTAAAGGATCCAGAGGGACAAATCCAAGCTGGGGTCAGAAGACAGGTCTAAAAACTGAGAAGTCCGGTGGCAGAAACGGGTCAGGGACAGGAAGAAATAAACACAACAGAGTACGCTAGAATTAGTCTCACAAGAAGCTCAAATAATCTGGCACCATTGGCTTGGAACAGGTGGATCTGATTAGAGAAAATGAGTGCAGGGTGGAGCAAAGCAGATGAGAGAAAAAAAGAGTCAAACCCAGCCATTGTTGCCAAGAACATGACACTTGGTTTGAATGGCCTATTAATTAACTATAACTTCCAGTCTTAGTTATTTGATATATTCATAATCTGCTAGTGAAATTGTACAGCGGAATTGGTAATTAAACTTTATCTAAGGTAATGCATTATTCAAATCAAACACTTTGAGCAGCAAAGAAGAATCTGGTGCTTCAACTTAGATGCTGTCCATATTAAGGTTAGACGCTATAGATGTGTATAAGAAAAGTGTCATAAATAATCGGAAGCATTTTGTTAAGAGCCATTGGTATCATTAATCATCATTAATCAGCTTTTCTAGACTGTAAAAAAACTGGATGTGCCATTATTTATGCCATCACAACTTGCCAGTCCAAATACATGGGGGTGTAAATAAGGTGTGGTGCTGGTGGTTTATTCATATCATCTACAGGTTGTTTGCTTTGTGCTCAACATTATACCCAATTAAAACATTTCCAGTGCAGACACAACCATGAAATCCCTGGTCATTGGGGAAAGGCAGTAAGAACAAGCCCCTATCATTCTTCTTCTGTGTAAAAATTATACGTTCAACAATAGTGTGTATATATTATATATATATATATATATATATATATATATATATATATATATATATATATATATATATATATATATATATATATATATATATATATATATATATATATATAATTTGCAGCCAATTAATGATTAGTCTAAAATAGTGATAGGTTATTGAGGCATCTTGAAGCGTTTCGACACAATGCCAAACTGTAGTGATGCTGTCTCACAGAACACTGACACCTGCTGGAACTTTAAAGAAACTTGAGGCAGCTTATTTGACAGACTAAACTGAATTGATTTGATGCAGAGGCGTATCCAGAAAATTTTATTAAGGGTGGCCAGGCACTAACCAATTTACACTGAGGGGTGGCCAAAAGCAGATAGGCACCAAAACCTCAGGGTCCATCTACACTTTTCCAACAGGAAAATTAACGAGCAAAACATCCATATTTTCTACATAAAGACAAACCATGCTTTCCTACAGCCTTTGCTAACAAATAGAGGCATATATTTAAAGATCCGTGCTTTCTAAATAAAAGGTATAGTGGATACAATTCTTTGAGTTTTGAAATCTGGGCCGTAAATCTTTTCCATCTGTAAAAACATTAACATTAATCTTTTCCATCTTCACTTACCTACTTGTATCAATAAATATTCTGCATTTACATGTACCAATATCTACATAAATTGATTATTTGATACGTTTTTATTAAGATTGTTATTTATCTATGATTTCACTGAAGACTCCCAGATGACGTGCAGACACATCTTCTCTTTACCCCATGTGACACAAAATCTAGTTCTGAAAAGAGCATGGATTCTGTATTTATCATCTTTAATGTTAGTATATTGATGTGCAGAATTAACCACAAAAAAAATTAAATGGTTTGAATATTCCAATCGAGTGTATTACTGCTGCCACCATCTGTATTAGAGTGGAAAAAATGGCAAGGGTGGCTACAGGGGTGGCCAATGACTGGCTGAGGTTGGCCATGGCCACCCCCGACCCCCCATTTGAATTGATGACCTAGAACAATAATATAATTTAAGCTATTGTAGGTTATATTGTATTATTTAATATTTGTGTTTAAATTGAAAATATCATTGATATTTTTAGATGCAGCCAATAAATAATGTAAACATATCATAACGTGATAATTTAGGGGGAAATGTGAATGAGGATGCTTGTGAACTAGGTTTTTAAATCATGATTAAAAAAAAAAAGTACAGTGATAACGGTACATAAATTTAGATAAGTTGAGTGATAACTGAGAGGAAATCATGAGACAATGAGAAAATTTAAATAAAAACGCAACGGCTGAACCGTTCCTGCTTCTTTTAGGCTGCTCCGACATTCTTGATAATTTTATAATAATAAACCGCAAAAGATGAGACAACATGCATATAAATGCGTTTTTAAACGTAGTTTAGTGTGTCAGTCAGATAGAAACAACTCAGGTATCGGTCACGTGACTTTCTTGAAACAAAAAGCGCACCGACGCAGCGTTTTGTTCTGTGCACTTCACGCAAGCACGGACTCCTCCGTGCTGCTGGTGCTGGACAACCCGTCACCAGTATTCAGTAAAACATTCAGATTACATAGATCTCTAGCTGGTGGGATTAAAATTTCTTTTCATTTTAAACAACAATTTTGCGATGTTTTCACGTCTTCTTTACTTGCCCGAATTTGGGATCTGAAAGCAGTTTGTCGGAGTTCTTGTGAACGCCACACATATAAACGCTGCAGCTCTTCCTAGTTGGATGTTGGAGGTTAATGTTTTCCAGAATATGTTTTGACACCAACTTTTAATTCTCCTGACAAACAAATTAACCGTGTTATACTCCCAGTGATGTATTTTCGTCTTCACCTGGTGCTTTCAGCGGTTTTAATTAAAGGTAGGAAATAGTTTCACTTATATTTTCTTCATTTTTCAACTGGTCTGCTCATGAATGGATGTAGGCCAATATGTCATGATCGACATGTCTTATCTTTCCTCATAGTATCCAGGCTACTTAGAAAACCAATCTGTAAAGAGTTTCACATTTGGAAATAATAA